GAATGAGTCTGTTCTCTGGAGAGGTGTGTTGGTTGTATGGATTCAGATCCCCCTCGGGCAGAGCTGGGGTTTGGATACAGGTATTTCATATCCGGAGCAAGTGTTGCCACTACTAGTCTTCCACAGCAGCCTGTCTCCTCCAGCTGCTGCCAGCTCATCAGTGGTGTCTGAGTCAGCCCCATCCACCTCGTTTTTATTAAAAATGGCTGTAGCGGAGCAAGGCCATGATTTAACCAGAATAGGAAACTCCATAGTTTTTATACATAATTTTGGCATAAATTAACATCTGGGATTTTTGGTGGTGATTCTTGTGGGTTTTGTTTTCTTGGTCTGCCTGGGATTTTTTTGATTTTTAAATCCATCCAGTCAAGTCATGTGAAATAATCCATAGATGCTTACGGATAAATTACTGCAATAAAATGCAGCTGTCTAGCTAAAACTAGTTGGACTCTGTTCTAGCTCCTGCTTTGTTTAGCAAGGCACTGCACATAGCCATAAAAACTTCAGTTCTGCCAAGTCCTTTGCTTGTACATACTTATGCACACTCGCTGTGAGTACCACTGGCTTGACTACTCACCAGCTGTGAGTACTACACTGCACCCCCCCTCTTGTAAAGGAGAAACGTCCTTTTGACATTTATCTATACATATTCAAAGTACTATAAGATTAGTATCTTATAACAGGTGCAAACACAGTAGATACATTTGGGCTAAACTCCTTGGAGTAATCCAACTTGTTTTACACTATGCAGTTTGTTTCTAACTCCAGTGGGAGAGCTCTGAGCAATAACACTGATGAAAAGTTTGGCAGTGTCATACTGTTGAAGAAGAGCTAGCCAAGCTGTGTTTGTGCAGAGAGGGGCATTCACTCGGGTGATAAAGGGATGATGTGATTAAACAGCTGTCGTGAAGGTGCATTCTTAAACAAGCATGAGCAATAGAAAAATCCACCTGTGGTAGGGAGGGTGCAGATCGAGATTAGGGCATTTGAAGAACTATCCAGTGGAGACTGCAAACCTGTAGTTGCTTAGAGGAAAAGAAGAATAGGGTGAGATCAGCTGTCTACGTCAGCCTGTGAACCGACGTGGGGCTGGAGGCTTCATCTCTGACTTCTAGCCCAACAATTTCATTGTTGGGTAGACAAAGATGAGATCCAGCTTGGCAATGCTTCCTCTTGTTGGTTTGGATATCCTGTGTGTCATCCCTGTGCAGCAGCAACGAGGCGTGGAAATTGCTTCTTTGGAAGAAATGTGTCCAGTTACCGGTAATCCTAATAAAAAGGCATGCAGTGGGAATCATAGACAAAGACAGATTAGTGTGAGTCATGAGGAGACTCACTTGTGTGTGTAAAAGCTCTCCAGTAAAGGTGCTCTTTAAGTAGTTTCTCTATTGTGCTGCTTGTGTGTGGCTGTAGTTTGGGGTTTTAGTCATTTGTTCATTTATTTTTGGTGACGTTGGGATCACTGGATGTAATTTCTGCATGATTCTTCTATTTTTCCGATGAAAATTAGATTTGATAGTCTAATGTATGCTCTTATTTCTTGGCCAAAATTACCAGTTTCATCTGTGGAAGCTGTTTGATTATGCAATAAAGGTGTCTGTCATCATGTGGGCTTCTAGCAGACAGCTTTGCTGACCCTAATTTGATACAGATCTGCATCCTTGTTGCCTACTGGGATGATGAGATGTTGATCATTGCAACACTTGTGTGATTTTGTCCAGGTCCTGTTTAGGAAAGCCGAGGCATGGACCACATCCATACTGGAAAGTGACACTGAGCTGACCAATATTTATATTCTTGCAGAGGGATCAAATGGAGAATGATTATATGGTCATGAAGTCAGCAAGAGGAGAGGGAAGGAGGTAAAAAAAAGTCTAGGCAGCAGAATATGGGTCTTTCAAGGGCTGGGGAAGATGATACTTTATTTTGACCTGTGTAGGCAGGCTTTGCTTATTTCAGAACTTTAAAAAGTCCTATTCCTTGTTTCAGCTGAGTTTGTGTATTTGTTCTGTTTTAAAACTAGTCATATGTTTAAGGTTATGCTTATATTTAATCCTCATGACTAAAAATCAGAGCCAGCATGTGGTGCAGAAGTGCTGGCTGTTAGTGATCAGGGTGTGTTTCTCTGTCCTCCCAGGTTGATTGTATGGCTGTGCTGTCCCAGGGATGAGGAAAGGAATAGTGATAACTCTTTGACCAGGAAATTAGAAACAGACTTTTCAGTAATACTTGTAAACTGTAGATGAGTATGACAGTTATCCTATGCAAGAAAGAAGCCTCTTTTGTCTGTAATTATTAATTACTGGTAGTGTGCTATTAACACTTCATATCAGGGGGACTTAAACATCAGAAAAATTATGACCATCTTGGTCAAAAGGTATTCTGTGCACTAAGTGTGATAAATAAAAACCCCCCAAACCCCCAGAAAAGCATCCAGTGTTATGGGAAACAAAACTCTGGGCTAGGTTGTTGGAAGTAGTTTTTCTTTCTCTTCTGAAGACTGTTTCCTCCTGAATAATGAGGAAGAGCAGCACTGGTTGCTTGCTTGGCTTTACTCTCTTACTTTTCCCCACCCCACGGACATTGCCCCTGCAATTGTCTCCTGTGTGCTTGGAAGGTCATTGCACAAGGCAGTTCCTAGAGTATACCATCATCTTTTTTATTTCCTCAGGAAACTTCATTGTAAACCTCTGCAAAAGCATTTCTAAGGCAAAAACCCAGATGTAAAGTGTGCCAGCATTTGGAAGAGGCAGGAGAATTCAGTGTAGGCTCTTGGGTTAGAGTACTGTCACCTAAAAGCTGTAAGAAAGTTACTCAGTGACCAGGTTCTCACTAATGGTTTTAGAGGGTTGGTAAACTTGAGGATAAAAGTCTGTGCAGCAATTTGGCAAGCCTCGTGGTGTTTGAGATTTTCATTTAAAGCCTTTGATCCTGGAGGCAGACAGGTAAGGCAGTTTCAAGGGCTTGCTCAGTCTTTCGACTCCAAGCTTGTGTAGAAAAGCTAGAAAGGCTGCAAAAAGGCTCAGGACCAACAAAACTCAAATAAAAGCATGGTGGGGTGTCTCTTTGAATATTCTGCCCTATTCTCTTTAGCCATGGGACTTTTGATACCTGGTGTTGACAAACCTGGATCTGCAATGTTCCCAGTGGCAGGGAGGGACAACAGCCCCTGATCAATCCCCAGGACTTTGGCCAAACATTGCTGTAAAAGTCAGGCCCAGGAAAAACATGATATTTCTGTAAAAATCAGGAGAGTTTTTAAGCCTCTCTTAAATAGAACAGGTGGATTTTGTGTGAAATGGAGTCACTAATGCAATAAGCTTCTCTCTGCAGCTGCAATGGCTCAAGTTTGGAGTTGGGTGGGCACGTTTGTTGAGGTTTTTTGGTGTGCTCATCTGCCATGAGAGGGCTCAGCTGATCAAGGATTCCCACGGTGTGCTCAGCGTTGCTCCCCACAACCCTCACCAAGTGAGTCCCCAGGTCTCTGGGTTTTGGCCAGCATCCTTACCACTACTGTGTCAGTAGCAGCTGGCGTGGACTGTGCTGGTGCTCAAGGGATGGCGAACGGTTGGGCAGAGCCTGGGGCATCCTGCAGGTGTGGTTTTGTGAGCCAGTTGTTCTACACCTTCCCTGGCATGCTGCCTGGCAATGGGAATGGCTTCAGAGGCTCCCTCAGGGTACTGCACTGCTAAGTCTGCCAGGGTAAAAATCGCCTTCTTGGGGTTAATGAGCAAGAGAATTCCCAACCTGTCATATGGGCAGAGCTTTGTCATGCAGGCCTGTGTGATGTCCCACTCGAGGAACAGATGTTTTTAAACAGAACTTGGAGTAACCTTATTTCTGTATACTTTTTTTTTTTTTAATATATATATACACTAGAAGCACAAGTGCTGTAGACACTATGATTGTATCTTCCAGACACTGAAATAAGGAAGGAGGGAGCAGTTGAAACAAGTAGTAGAAAACTAATCGAGTGACCTGTCCTCAGATTTTCACCTGTGGCTGGGTTATGGTTGACTTCAGTGCAAACTTTACTTGCCTCAGCCAAGGCTGGGCTCTGTCTTTGCTAAGCATCCAACTGATGCTAATAACTTTTGTAGTCATCTTGAAAGTCCAGTCAGTGCTCTTTGGTGTGTCTTATATTGCATCTATATTTTTAAAAGACAGTCAGGTTTGATCTGTTTGTTGATAAAATACTACCAGTAAAATAAATGATTATTCAACAAGCAGTTTATTCTGTGGCTCCAGTATTTCCCGTGAGAGCTGCTGCTGCATCTGGTGGTGCTTGAGGATGGGTTGAAATCTGCGAAGTATTTCCCAAAAGCTCTTAAGTCAGTGATGGTCATGTCATGGACAGAGAGGAGGTGTCACAAATGCCTTCAGTGCTGGTGAGGGCATTGTGTGGACATCCCATACCTTCAGGGAATAAGTTGTGAAAGGTGGGGAGGCTGGGAGAGAACCCTGACCGTGGATATAAATGTCTGTTGGTATGTGCTTTTGGTGTCACCAGAATACCTCATCTGGGCTGCAGTAGTTGTTGATGTGTACCCAGAGATTCACCTGTCACCATTGTGTGTGATTGAAGTTGAGGCTCGTTTTGTTGTTTGGCTACTGAGTAAACTTCCTAAATTGAGTCATGGTTCCTTCTTCAGAAATGAAGGAGGCTGTGTGATAACAGACTGAAAGCCGAAGTCAGGAGAACAACAATTTGAAAGGAATAGCTGAGCTCCTTTCTAAGTGTGAAGTAAATTACACTAGAGAGTGTAAATTGGAGCAGAACTAGTTCTGCACAAATTCACTATATGCCTCTCTTAGGCACATACAGCAAGCATATTTCTGTGTTGTCTGTGCTGACAGAGCTCAGGCATTTTCCTGAAAATGTGGATGCTAATATTCCTTTGGACACTGTGGCATCTGTGGGGATGTGTGGAAAGGCTGACGATCCTCATACATGCTAGTAACAAAACACCTCTGTTATCTGGTTTTTTTTTCTTTCTTAGCTTCCTTTACAATCTCTCTTCAGAAAGTGGACAACACCACAGTTATGATTAAACTGAGACCTGGTGTTCCATCAAGCTGTCATATTCGCGTTAAAACTGTCATCAGGTCTGAACTCAACATTAAGCCTGGGGAAAATGTGACTTTTACCTTTACTTGTAGTACTCCAGAGAAGTATTTCATCATGGAAATTCAGAAAAATATTGGTAAGATACAGATTTTTTTTAATTTTCCCCCAATGGTAATTTTCCTCCAGTAAAACCACATACCCTTTATTCCAGTTACTGTATTAAGATAGCCACCTAATGTTAGGTAAGAAGAAATCTTTGAGCACTGATAAATAACCTTAAATTACTGAAACTATGCAAGTTAAAGAAGTCTGTATTGCAGCTGGCAGAATTAATGTTAACTTGGCTATGCTGGAAACAGCCAAGTTAAATGATAGTTTACTGAGCCAATTCCTTTCTGCCTTTCTTTTCCCCACAATTTATAAACCCATCAAATAATCTTTTTTTTTTTCCCCTGACAAAAGCCTCTGAACACTTGTAATAATATATCATGTATTTGATGAACAGCTTGAGTGTATCTGTAGGGACAACTGAAACATTGAAGACATGCACATTTTTCTTTATATTTGATGAATGTCACTGAAGCTAAGAAGCTGAACATTTGGAAGTGTAACTAAGCTTCATTTACTTTTGAATGTTATCCCTGGTGTATGTACTCTTTAATGCCATGAACACGTGCAACTTCACAGCTAGATCCCAAACTTCATTCGGCATTCAGTCTTTAGTAACATCTTCATTATTTTTGGGGTGGTGTTCAAGGATAGTTCTCTTTGTGTTTTGGAATTTTATTCGTATGATTCATGCAAATAGTAATGCTTACAATATTTCGTGATATATTTGCAAGATGCACTTGTGATATTTCTTCTTTTAAGTTGGAGCTTAGACACAGATTAAAGTATGCTTATTTTGAGTGTCAATCAATCATTAGGATTCTTCAGATTAAAGTTTTCTAGGTTCCCCCCAGAATCCTGGGGTAGTTGTTTTTGTTTTTCATCTGGGCACCAAGGAAACAAATACAGTTCACTGCAAGCAGTAGAAAATTTAACAGTGAGTGATTTGACAGGAATTCTCTGAGCGAGATGGGATAAAATGGATTCTCTAGGTCTGTGATTTCCAGCTCTCTTGATATTGTGTTTCTCTCTTTTGCCCATTCAGACTCTGCCCTATTCACTAAATACCTTCTAAATTCTTCAGCAAACAAGGCAGAATACTTGAGACAATGAAACCCTTCTATTAGACAGCCCAACTAAAGCAGGTTTATCCTGTCTGTTCTATGGGAGACTTGTTTAGAGACAACATGTGACCGTGTTACAGGAGTGTCTTTTAGTGCATGTAGAAGAAAAGTTCAGTGCAACCTAAAAGTTGTGAAAATTACAAGGAAGGAGAAGTGTCAAATTCCTTGTTTACCTGAATGGTTTCTAGAGTGTGTTATGGCTCTTCTTTCTCTCCATTTAGACTGTGTGTCAGGCCCATGTCCCTTTGGAGATGTTCATCTTTACCCACTGCGGCTACCCCGCCTTAATAGGACTTACATCTGGGACGTGAAGGCGAGTACAAAAGCTGGACTGGAACTAAAATTTTCTGCCCCGTGGCTAAGGCAGATTGAACCAGGAGAGACGTGCCCGGATTTCATTAGCTACAACATCAACAGCTGTATCGATAAGGCCACGGTCAACATTGGCACCTTCTGCAGGAATGGCTCAGTGTCTCGGGTCAAGTTGCTGGGAGGAGTTGTCATGTCTCTGCACCTCCCGTGGAACTCGCCCCTCACAACCTCAGGCTTCAACATAGCTAACAGGGCTTCCATAAAAAGTAAGTGTGGAGTAGTGTGATTGAATTATTTGAACCTTTCTTCTCAGCTAACCTTCTAGTTTTGGTGCTGCTATCTCTAACTCCTTTCCACTTCATCTTTTCTGGAAACTATTGTTGTATAATTTTTAGTTTGGTAAGCTGGTGCTCTTCTGGAGTCAAAATATCTTAGTTTGGTCGATTAATAATTATGAAGACTGTTCTGTTGCTGCATTTGGTGCACTGGAGAGAGTCCAGTGGAGGGCCACAAAGAGGATTAAGGGACTGGAGCATTTCTTATGAAGAGAAAGTGCGGGAGCTGGGCCTATTTGGTCTAGAGACAAGAAGACTGAGAGATCATCTCACTAATGCATATAAATACCTCAACAGTGGGTGCCAGATTCTTTTCCATGTTACCCAGTGATAGGATGAGGAGCAATGACCATAATCTAAAACACAGTAAGTTCCACTTCAGCCTGAGGAAGAGCTCCTTTCCATTGAAGGTGGCAGAACACTGGAACAGGCTGCCCAGGGAGATCATGGAGTCTCCCTCTCTGGAGACATTCAGAACCCACCTGGATGTGTTCCTGTGTCACCTGCCCGAGGTGACCCCGGCTTGGCAGGGAAGTTGGACTGGGTGATCTCCAGGGGTCCCTTCCAACCCTAACAATCCTGTGATTATTCATTTCCAATCTCTTTAAACTTCCTAAAACTTTACCATACCTGCTTTTTTGTTTTTTTGTGTTCAGCTAGATGAGACGAGGTAGCATACTTAGAATAAGTCAAGAGAGTTTTTTTATGATTGCAGTTTGTAGTTGGGCTTGCTTATTTCTAAATAAAGCTTTCTTAACTCCTGGGGCCTCAAACCAATGCCTCTCTTCAGGAGAGGAATGTGAGAAAAGGGGAAGCAGTGCCTGGGAGGCATGTGAGGCTGCTTAAATACAGTTATCTGTTTCAACCTGCACAGTAACACAAAACGTTGGGTAATAATCTTCCTAAAATACCTGAAATGTTATTTACCAATCAGTGGGTTCTTTTGTGATCTCATGACAAATCTTCTGTGGGAGATGTTCTTGCTCTGTACTCGAATTCTGCAGTTGTTGCTATCAGTTATAAAAGGAACTTGGTCCAGGTTCAAGTCTCTAGAATACAAGTTTTTTTTGTAACTCCTGGCACTCCTTGCAGTTGCAAATCACCACAGGAGTGCTAGAGAAGGACCATAATCTCTGTGTACTCAATTTCACACTGCCAAGAGTCATCCAAGCATAAAGTGTATTACACAGACTCCGCAGTTCAGATTCATGTTTTATCATGCCTTTTTGAGGCTCTTTGCTGGGGTGTTTTTGTTAGATTCAGGAGGTTTCAGGAAAGATTGCTCCATTCTGGTATAAAAGCTCACATCTGTTTCCTGTAACCTGGTAAAGCAAAAGCAGTTATCAAGTATAATAACTCTTGCAAAGCCAGGAGTAGAAGTACAAACTAGGATTTTTCCCAAGAATAAAGGCTTGTCTCTCTATATGCTTGAAAGGTTAACCCACTAAACTGAAAAAGCAGCATTAATATGTTCCTTATCTTTTCTGTAATTGAAGACAAAAGAATCAACTTGAGCATATGTTTTAGCCTGAGGGTCTTGTAATAAACTAACCTGTAGTTGAAGTGGATGATCTCACTGTAAAAATAAAAATACTCTGCTTCTGGGGTGCTAGACATGTCAGTGTGTCTTCATTAACTGGAACTTGTTTTGTAAATTTTCTTCCTCCTGCCTCATGCTTTAGGGTTATGCATTATTGAATCCACTTTGAAGGGGGAGTCTTCCATCACCCTGATGTCCCCCAACTACCCACTGGGCTTTCCAGAAGACGAGCTCATGACGTGGCAGTTTGTGGTTCCTTCCAGCATGAGAGCAAGCGTGTTTTTCCACAACTACAGCCTCTCCAACTGCGAAAGGAAAGAGGAGAGGGTAGAGTACTACATCCCTGGCTCCCTCAGCAATCCGGAGGTGTTCAAGCTGAGTGACAGCCAGCCTGCCAATATTGCTGGCAGTTTCAACATGTCCCTGCAGGGCTGTGATCAGGATGCCCAGAACCCGGGCATCCTTCGCTTGCTCTTCCAAGTCGTCGTTCAACATCCGCAGCTTGATGAGAGTAAGTAGCTTTTATTGCTTTTGCTTGCAGACACCTGGACTGAGCACCAGAAGGGAGAGAAATACTCCTTGTTTTGTTATTTTCCTTGAACTTAGGTCCCTCCATGAGTTTAAGGAGGTGGGTTGCCAAGCAACACTGAGGCCTGTTTTACTGCCCTTGGTACCGCTGGCCATCCCTACAGGAAGGCGAGCAGTGATGCTGAAATTTGCAATTTGCAATGGAGAATGAAGCTCTGTTGTAGATTTTATCCTGTAAGCTTGTAAATTGAGACTCCTTTCCCTTTCCACCATCTGAATCATGTAATTGAAAAATGCCTTGAATACGTGCAGTATCAGGTCTTGCATGTTGTATAGACTGTGTTCCTCCTGAGAGTCTGATCAAGCTATCAGGCAAGGACTGTAACTGCTCAGCTGGAATTGTGTGGGGTTACAAGCGGCTGCCTGTTCTCCAGTAAAGAAATCAAGTTCAAGCTCATTTGGACAGTTTTACTTTCAGACGTGAGATTCAACGTTTTAAAGACAATTCATAAAATGTGAGCCCAGTTTCCTGCTTTCAGCATGAGCAGTTGCATTTAACAAGGTGAAACCTGCTGTCATGGTAGGTAACAAGATCTGTAGCATAAAGTGGTGAAATGAGAGGTGGAAAATTGTCTCTGTGTTGCTAATGGCATCAATGTGCATTTCTTTCCTTCCTTTCTTCCTTCCTTTGAATTTTATTTTGATTGCCTGAACATCATCTAGTGGGAAGAAGTCACATAGGCACAGAAGTTGTCAGCAAGATACTCCACTAGTAATACCTCCTACATACTTGGATGTTCTTTATGTTTCTCTACACCAAGAAAATAATTTATTTGTTTGTTTGTTTTTCTAGCCTGAAATTCAGATTGGTTTAACACAATACCTTGTAATATCAGAGCATTTATCTAAAAGCAGATATAGAAGGCCTGGCCAGGTAATGAGCTAGTGATTTATTCTCTGACTTATCAGCTCTGACCTCAGTTCAAGGTGAAGGTTAATAAGGTTAATAAGATGCACTCACTGCAGAAGAGCAGGTGGAGGAAAGTCCGCACTTCACCACTATTGTGATAGGAGCTACTTAGAGGCTTTTAAAGTGATTTTAGAGGGAATAAAGTTTGAATGGCCTGTGCCCTGAAGTCACATATCCAGAAAGGATCTGAAGCATTTCACCACTGCAATCCTCCATCCTTTGTCTCTCTAGCCTGGCTCCATTTGTGAACAGTAAATCCTCACGAAATTGTTGTTAACATAATCCTGTTTGCTTACATTTATTGTGTGTTGCATCTTGGAAGCTAGACAGAGTGAAAACATTGTATTCAGTTAATCAGCTTTATTTCCCTTCTACTTTGGAAAGCAAGAGAGTTTTAATATATTTATGGCCAGTAGAAAAGACAATAATCACCTAAAAAATTAAAAACAGGTTGTCATTTCGTTAATGAAATGCAAGTAATAAACCACAAGGATTTAAGAGACAACAGAGGTTTCTCTGTGGATTTTGTAGGATTTCATGATTGATTTTGTAGTTATGTAAGTTCTATCAAAGATTCAAATTCAGCCCTCAGGTTGCCATCTGCAACATTGCTTTTATTAAAAATGCATTGATATCTGCATATTTTCGAAGCTTCCCAAACATATGAGTGTTCCACAGCTGTCTATGCTGCTTGTCATTAAATAAGAAGAAAATGTAGCTCTTTGCAGTTACACTAACTTCTTGATCTAAGCCACACTGAGTTTGGCTGCTGCAGGAAAAAGCGTTCTGAAGAATGAGTAACCTTGTGGTAGGAATCCCAAGTTCTGTGCTTGGTTGTACAAATGATGTGGACAATTCCATTTGGCCACTTGCCTTTTTGTGTGTCGGATTTCCCTCACCGGAGAAAGCTGTTTATTCACCTTTTGTGTATGACTTTGAGACCCATAGCTAAAGCTAAAAGCAGAAAATGAAGAGTAATAAAATGTGTTTGTGTGTATATTAATTTTTTTTTCTCCCTGTTCTTTATAGAATCACAGAATGATATGTGTTGATAGGGACCTTAAAGATCATCCAGTTCCAACCCTCTCTGACATGGGCAGGGATACTTTCCACTGTATCAGGTTGCTTTCTTTGCTATTGGGGACCCATGACTTGTTGACATCATCAGATTGTTGTGTGGATCCAGTATCTATCCTTCCACATGATAGTCAATCTCTGTGAACTACACTGTGACCCATAACCTTTCATTTTTTCCTCTTGCCTTCTGTTTCCTCCTTCCAGGTGTTCTAAGTATTTGCAACTGCCCTTAACTTGCACGGGAGAAGGTATCTGTCATTCCTGCTTACCCTTGTTTTTCCAACTTGCTGTAGCTGCCCACACATGGGGCTGAGCATATGTATTAGCCTGCTATCGCTGGAAAGGGGGAGGGAAATGGGCTTTGCTTGTGGAAAGGCTCAAACCTGTACATTAGAAGAGTGAGACAATACCTCCTAAGTTTGTATTCCATTGATGGAAAGAAGTCAATATCTTAGCTGATATAGAAATAGCTGTAACAGCTGGCTGTAGAATGGGATGAGAAGAGATGAAGCTCTGCTTCACACCATGCTTCTGGCCTGTAATTGCTCTGGGACATTTTTCGTTGCAGATGTCACCCATCTGGTTGACCTGAGCAAGGAGAGGAACATGACTGTGACAATACACTCCGAAGGGTGGCCCGGCTACATCCCGCTCATGTCTGAACCCATGTGCCTGATCTGTAAGGATCCTCGCACCTGCGACCGCGTCTTGACTTTAGTGTCTGGCACCGTCTACAGGATCTCCTTTCTGTGCAAGGACTTGTCGCGTCTGAGGATCACGGCTGAAAAAGGCATAAGTATGACAAAAGTGGCTTAACGTTGTTGCCTGGGGAATGCTTTTGCGTGTTTTTTCCCAGGGCTCAGTGAAACCTTCTCTCTCCCTTTGGCTTGAAATGGATTGTAGTTGGAAAGCAGGCATTGGGACAATGAATCTGGAGGTGATCTTGTTCAGTACATCATTCTACCATTAAAAATAGAAACTTTGCAGCTGTTCCCAGAAGAGAAAGGACAGAAATCACCTAAGAATCTTCTCGCTAGGGGCAAAATAGGGAAACAAAGCCATAAATATGCCCATGAAAATTCAGGACCAAGGTGGCCATCGGGAATGCGTCCTATTCTGCTTCAGTGTCCCCTTGGTGTATGATTTTCCTAAATTTTTTCAACTACTGGTAAAGAAAGAGATTTTAGGTATGTATCTGTACCTTGGCTAGTCTGCAACAGTGTCCCAGTCAGCAAGCGATACAGCGAAAGTAGTAACTTGAGCAAGGAATTTTGAATATGTTTGTATCTATTTGTTTCTTTGGTGTCCTTCACCCTGTTAAGGGAAGCTCTTTAAATACAAACAGTACATGTTTGGGTAAAGGTTGCTGAGAGGGTATATTTTTCTAAGGTAGGTGCTTATCTAGGGTCTGTAGTGAAACACTGACAGTATTCTGTATGTGCCTAGATAATTCCTCTGCAAGAAATACACAACCTTTGAGATTTGTTTTTGTTGATTGCAGGCTGTGTTGATTTTTGGCGGTGTCAGAAGAAGATCTATTCCCTTTCGGTGCCCAAGGCTATTACCCAATTGCCAATTCGACTGCACAAGTTTATTTGGAAGCTCTTGGCTCCCGATCTGATCAACATAGAAATAACTTCTCCGTCCTTGAAACTTCAGCAACTTACCCAAGAACAGAGGTGCAACATGAGCTACAGTTACAGCATTGTTAGTGCCACCCCAGAGACGGAGCTGTATGTTGGTGTGTTCTGTCCTGGTGGATCCATTGAAAAGATTCAGATGAGGAATAACGTCACCATATCCTTAAAGACATTTGGTAAAGGATTCGTCAATGAATCTAACACTCAGGATTTGAAAATGTCTTTTGTGCCACATATTAAAGGTGAGGTGGTAGGTTTTGTATACTTTGTTGTGCAGTGATAAATCTCTCAATATGCTTATTAAAGCACATATGGATAAACAGAAATTAAGAGTTCAATTCTTTAGTCGTGGAGCCATTGCTAGAATCAGTCTGTATCTGAACCACTGAGGTTGTTTATTCCTGGAAGAAAGAAGCAACTTTGTACTCCAGGTGCTAGATAGATGGTTATGGGAAATTCTGCAAATGTGCCTGTGTTTATTGTGATAATTACTGATGTAGAAGGCGATGATAATTATCAGAACTAAGTTTTCTTTCTTTTCACTTACTGCAGATGAGTGCACTTTCACTGTGAGTCCAAATCCAAAAGCCAAAGTTGACTTGCAAAGTCCCAACCCGCGTTATGGTTTGCCTCCCTATGTCTCCATATCCTGGTACATCGTCGTGCCTAGCAAGCAAATTGCCCGCCTTGGGTTCTCCAAGGACCGCATGGGCATTGCTTGTGAGACAGGCCATGCCTATGTCAACATAAAGGAGGAGACTCTGGGGGCAGAGGAGACCGTGCGCCGTGAGGATGAGCCTCTGCCCAATCCCCGAAATATGTATCATAACTTCTGGGTAAACGTCTCCAACTGTAAACCTGTGGACAGGACTCAGCTGTCCTTGCAGTTCTGGGTGACTTTGGCTGACAAGCAGATAGGTGAGTCCTGTAAGGCTGTGGTGGTTTGTTTTCTGCTGGTTTCCTTGCTTTCCCTTGGGGTAACAGGAATGGATGGTGGTCCTCTTTGGATATGGGGGGTTTATGAGATTCTGCCTCTGAAAATGTCTGTCCTTCAAAAACTTCTGAGAGTTTTAGCTGGGTACTTCTAGGAGCTGGGGAGAAAGGAGGGATTTTATTGCGGTGGGGGTTTCTGGGGGGTGAGGTGTGTTTCTGGGTTTTCTTTTATTTACAGAGGGGATTGAAGGGATTGGGGTATTAAGACTAGATTTCATTTTTTAGAATTTAATTTAGATTTTTTAGTTGGTGATAGCAGACAGAATGTATAATAAGATCAAATGATTTTTTCCCTTCCAAGGTCACAGACCTTGGGATTTGATTATGCAAACTTATTCATCCAAGTAGTCCTCACTTCATGTTAGCAGTTCAATTAGTCTCAATGTTCACATGAGCAAGAAGTCATCCCCAGGACAGGTCTGACCATTTAGTGGCAGGTGGGCCCTGACTGCTAAAGGCAAAATCTACATTCTTGTTCTCTTTCATCTCCCTGAAACATAAACAGTTTTTAAAAAAAAAGAAATAGGGGGGGAAGGGGACATTTTCAGAGTAGTCTTTGCTTATTAAAATTTGCTTCACATATACACTTCCTCTTTACCTGTGGGAGACTGCTGACTGTAGAAATATTGGATTCACAGACTTGGGCTCAAGCAGTATCAAATTGATTTCTAATTTTATAATTTTTTTTTTTTGTAATATATACTTTTAAAACATTCAGCATTTTTCTTTGCTCGTGTGTGGACTTTCCTAATCAATTCCAAGTCAACACAACCTTTGCATTTCAGAGGAAAGGATGGTTTTGAGGGGAAATTGTTGAAATGTCACTATTTCTTCTGTTGAATCCTTCTCTGTTTCTGCACTTCTTTTCTCTTCTTGCCTTGCTTATTCAGCCAGAGGCATGTGAGATGCTGCAGGTAAGTTTAGCAGTGCATGAGCTGTATTAAACTCTTGGGAGTGGGTGGGTTGATTGGGTTTTTTGGTTGTGCTCCACTGCTAACAGCAGTAGTTGGTCTGTTGCCTCTTGGAAATGGCTTGTGTTGTTCTGTGGTGAGCATGGCTTGGGAACTGCTGCTCTGCAGGCAGCTGGTATGCGTAGAAACTCCTGAGGAGGTTCAAACCCTGTCAAAAAGACAGCTTTTAGGAGAAAGGTGGATGTTCTTTCTTTGGCTCAGTGTCCTTGTATCTTGTCTGTTTGCAGACCTGGGAATCATACTTGGTATGGTGGCCGGGGCCGGAGTTCTTGTGGCTATTGGACTGACTGTGTGCTGTGTTAAGAAGAAGTAAGTTCATAATTTGGCATGTGTAACTTAGCAGTTAAAGAAGGTATTTTGGGAAAGCTGCTTGGCCATCTGTTTCATGTGTTGATATAGATCCCTTGAACCAGGGTCTAAAGCATGAGGAAGGCAATGATGTGGAAGTAATGTGACTCCAGGAATGCTTCTTTACTCTAAATTGACTGACCCTGAGAGCCAAGCAGCATTCCTGGAGTCACATTTCTTCAACCTGCAGAGTACTGCTTATCTTGACAGCTTTTGGCTGCACTGTAAGTAAGGTGTTGGTTGGACTTCAGCAGCAGTCCCTGTGACACACAATAGCTACATTCATTGCAATTCCATGTGTGGCTCTATTCAAGTCTTCATTCAAACAAGCTGTAAACTTACCTAGGTATACCAAGAGCTGTCTTTCCCCTACACAACATGCAGCATCTTCTCCTGGAGTTTGCACATTTTTCTGTGAGATGAGCCCTTGGAGAAAGAACTGAGTTGTGCAAAGCTTACATGTGTAGCATTACTCATACAAGCAGAGTCTGAAGTCATTGATAGCTTGGGCTTTCTGATACATGTATTCTCAGTGCTGTCAAGGTGGTTGGGTCCAGAAGCTGTAGAACTGGAATAAATTTATGCAATATGGTGACTACAGCATTTATGAGCGCATTTTCTGCCACACAGGAGAAACTTTACAAATGCAGGCTTAAAGGTCTTCAGTTCAGCCTTTGTTCTTCCCAGTTTAGGGACAGTCACTCAAAGTATAACCAAGAAAAGTTCATTTGCCTTTTACTTAATAACACTCAGCCTTGTTTTGTGAGGATCTAGTGATCTCTGGGTCAGTGCATGTTGTGGGACTTGGTACACTGCACAGCCAGGAACCCCAATGCTTGTGAGGCCATTACAGTTAACCTTGCAAACTTCAGGGTCAAACAGCAGCAGTGGGTAAAGTTATTTTCTGCTCTGTTAAAACAGCATGTCTAGACTCAAGAGTCTACTTTTCCTAAGATTGCAAGTAAAGCCTTTAATCCAGGTAGACTGCCTGACTCTGTGGGTGGGATGGGTAAACAGAGTGATATTATTATTGAGTTAAACATGCCAGGTGTGTTGTTTTTGACCTGTTATCAACTCTATAACAGGAAGAAGAAAACCCAGAATCCCATGGTGGGAGTGTACAATGCTAACGTGAATACCCAGATGCCTGGCAAAAAAGGCTTATTCACAAAAGGGAGGCAAAACAGTGAGTCTCATGTCTATGCAGTTATTGATGATGCTGTGGTCTATGGACACTTGCTGAAGGAGTCTAATGGCTCAGTGGCCCCAGAAGTTGATGTGTACCGGCCTTTTGATGGACCCATTGGTAGCTTGCCTCCTTCACCACCTCCATTCTCCTTCAGAAAAGACATTAAATTCTCTTCTAACACTGAGGAGGAGCCTCCACCGTTGACAGACACAGACCATGACAATTACACATTTGCTCATCAGAAATCAGGGCAACTGGAGGACAATGGAGACGTAAATGAAAAAGATAAGGGAGACACAAGTATGCCCTTGCTGGAAAGTAAAGAACAGGATGGTTTAGTGGAATAATTTTATACCAGGTATAGCAGTTTTCTGTGGAAACACAAGTGTAAGGATGGTGGTCTAGGAGAAAAAAA